TGCCATTAAATCTTCTTTTCTTACTTTTTTTGGAAGTGTTGTTGATTCAAGTCCAAGAAGAAAATGAAGACTTAGTTAGTTTCTCTTTTGTTTCATATAACATATACTGAAACAAAAAGCTATTTCTAACAGAAAATGTGAATTATTATCTCTGTCTTTGAGGAAAAAAAAAAAGGCATTTTCCTCACTTTATAGAGGTATCACCAGTCAGAAGGAAGGCAAGCGTTTCCCAAGGGTGATAAGGAGACTTTACAGCATTACTACAGGGAAATAGCAAGCCTTATTGGATGCTTTGCATGTGGTTAGATATAGCATGATTGGCAGGTTAATCAAGCCTGAGGTTTTTGGCCAAGTGTGAAAGTGTCAGTCTCTTTTTGCTTTTGCTTTTGCTTTTTCCTTTCAGTTTAAATACAGAAGCGTTATGCAGTTTTCCTGGATTTCCAAAGGTTTTATGTTTGTTTTCAGGTTTCCACACTAATGGTCCTTTCTTATCTCTGCCATTCGGTCTGGCCAAAACCTTGGCCGAGGGCTCTGAAGGCCCCTCCAGGCCCTGATGTCCCAGAGCAGCTGGGACACGTGCTTGCAGGCATGCAGGACACTGCCTGAGGCTGCCGAAGCTCATCCTGCGCCTTTCCCCTCGTCAGGAGGGCACCCAGGGGCTCATCCCCAACAGCTTAGCAGCCGGTGGTGAGGGGTGGGCAGCAGGTAGGTGGGCAAAGGCCTTGAGTCCCAGGTAAGAGCATTAAACTACTTGAGAATAGGACTTTGGAGATGTATTTTTCAGAGCTATCAATCAGAACCATCACAGGCAGCCTCTGTAAAATAGCCTGGAGCTGAGCTCTGCCCCATGGAGGCATTTGATGAGATGAGATGCAGCGCAGTTAAACAAATCCAGAGACGGCAACAATGCGATAGCAGCAATAGCAGCGATTTTATTTCCCACTTTGCATGCTCCTAACTGACATGCAGTAATGCCATGTTGCAGCACAGCTGGCGGAGGACTGGGCAGGAGAGCTGGGGCCTGCTGTGGTTTACCACAGTGCTGCCGACCAGCCTGAGCCTGCTCCCTGGTGAGAACAGCACTGGTAAGTACTTAGTTATATCATGAGCAGATGCTATACTTCTGTTTTTCTAACTGCCTCTCCTTCAGTTTACTTAAGAAAAAAAAGGCCGGCTTCAAAGACGCACCTTTCAAGAACAGTAAATATTTTAACTAGAGACCCCTTCCTATGTCAGTCCTGGCAAAAGGAATGAGTCCCTTCTGTACACTAGAAAATGCAACGCATCTTTTCTCCAATAACAGTAGCTAGTGAAAGAGCCTGGGAGGTTAGCTGAGCCATAACAAAAGCTTGATGGCAAAATTACTGCTGTCTAAATTATTCTACTTTCAAAAGGTGCACTACGTGGTTTCATTTTGCAGTCCTTTTAGGAAAAAGAACTGATTTATATTACCAAACATACACACACAAACGCGCGTGCGCACATGTGAGTGAGTGCAAGAGCATGGTGACAGTAATGTGACATCTTTCACAAACTTTAATAGGGCAATGTCCTCTGACAGGGAACAGGGAAGGGACGACCCGGCCCCTGCACGGGCTCCCGCGGTGGCCTGTGTGCTGGGCGCTCTCCTCGGGGATAACTGGGGCTTGGCTTCTAAAGCAGCTTTTCTCCACCATGAAAGCAGAGTTTTCTGCTACAGCTGACCCAGGCAGCCACGGTGGCAGCGGTGGAGCTGCAGGGACAGCATCACTCTGCAGAAAGGAAGCAAAAATAAAACTGGGGCCAAACCAGTCGCTTGTCATAGGAAGGTGGGACATGAGTTACAGACAGGGGTGGCCAGTTAGGACTGGGTGGTCGTGTGGTTCACCCTGTGAGGGCTGGCAAGTCTGCCTACACCAACAGCCACTCACACTAGGTCTTTCTCTCACCCAGACTTCTGTAAAGCTCACCAGCAATGGCGATGTTATCACCACCCCAGGTAGCTGGGTCCGGGATGTGCCTGTGCTTGCAACTAAGGCACTTGGGCACTCCTGGGAGGCAGGAGGTGTGTGAATGTCGGTCCTGTGCCGAGGGGGAACGAGATCCCACTCCTCCCGGCTCTAGCTGCAAGGGCTGACATAGAAGGGGAAACAGCCCCTGTCCATTCCTGTATGCACCGCCATCCTAACTTCTTTTTTCTTTTTAAAAAAAAAAAAAAAAAAACCAACAACATCTTTTCACTGCTTCCATGCGCTGGAGTTTTGAATATTGTGCTCACAAGATGCAGGCATTTCAGTACTGGGTGCCGCAGTACCCACAGATCGCACCCTCAGTTGCCAGTGCAGTTTCCTCACTAATACCCACACCTAAGAGATGGGCACTTCTGAATGCCACATCATCCAGCAGCCTAGGCATGCAAACACCTCAGCCAGGCCACCACTAATGCTTAAAGATGGGGCGAAATGCCCTGTTTATACACAATTCCAGCTCAATCTGCAGTTCTTAGACAGGTGCTGCTCCAAAACTGAGATTCATTACTTCACAGGACAGGGTTTTTAGTGCTGTGCTGCTGGCTTATCCCTCACACAGCTCCCATGCTTACCTGCATAATGGTCCGGTCTGAAAGAGAAGCCTGGCTGGAGTATGGCTCTGCTCCCTCTGCCCAGCATCCTGACGGGAGCTGTGAATTCAACCCCTTTTGCCAGGAGCAAAGGCAAAACCTGCAGAGGCTGGTCAAAGCTCCATGTTGTAACCCCTAAATGCATAAATACTTGGGCTCCCACGCTCAGCTTTCTGCATCAGACGCCTCAGGTGATGCCCAGGCAGTTCCACAAGGCAGTGTGCCGTGCCTGGCCACGGCCCGCGTGGGCAGAGGGCACCTCAGCGCCCCGGTTCACAGGGTGCTGGGCAAACCTGCCTGCCACACTCTGGAGCCCACACCACTGTGCTGTGGTCAATTCTTGTGCTAGCCCAGGTCCGCTCTCACCTTTTGCTGTCATATGTCCTGTTAAATAGATCAGCACAACAGAACCAGCTTGTCACAGCACCACCAGCAGCTCTATAGGGCAACGGGGACCTCTTCCAAGTACTGCTGTCCCTTCTGATGCTTCTTTGCTAAATTGTATGATGATTTCTCACTTGAGAAATCTCTGTGCTGCATGCAGCATTATGGTGTTTGAAAGATCGTGCAGCAGCAATGCTTCATAGCTCATGGGGCATCAGGGACCACGAAAATGCTCTAAGTTCACAGTTCTGAAAGTTACTAAATAGTAACATCTGTATCAGAGAGGTAAGGCTTGTAATGGACATGGTATTTTTTACTAGTCAGACTGACACGGTTGGGAAAAAAGGCACACATTCAGGCACAGAAACCCTTCTGTTTAAATGTACTGACTCTGCTGTTTGGAGATCTCTCCCCGCCCCCCGCTACATGCTCTAGCTTAAACCTCCATTCTGAGTTTGCTACTCCAAGGTATTTTAGCACAAGACTCTCAGCAAGTATGAGCTGAGAAAATATCAAAATTAAAGAACTAAGAACAGCTGTTTGTAATCACAAGTGATCTTCAAAGCTCTATTAGCTTGGACTATAGGGTGGGTCTTATGCTTCTCACCAGCCCTCCATTCAGTAGACTTTTAAGAGCCAGACAGATTAAAACTTCCCCAAAACCTTGGAACTGGACAGTCACACTCCAACTCCCCTCCTGCTAAATCAGTCTCCAGGGTGCTGGCTGAAATTTGGGACCACAACCTGCCTCCTCTCTCACCTCTAGCGGGAAGATTTACCATTGTGGGTGTCCAGCAAAGGAGCAGATCTACACACTGGCACTGACTGGGATTGACACCACGTGAGATTTGCTGTTGAGTGCAGTTAGCCTAGTGTGGTTTATTTTGCATCTCCAGCACGGTTTAAAATAAGCACACGATACGGAAATTATCCCCTCTTTCCACAAGACAGATTAAAAAAAAAAAAAAAAAAAATCTATCTATGCTTTGTGAAAGAGGATGGGAGTTTTACCAACTCTCTGAAGTAAAAGTACTCAACAGAGACAAAATTATGCAGGAAAATAGAATCAATTTTTAGGGACCTCTCTTCCTCTGTCCTGCTACGTTGTAATTTTCAGTATGACTCCTGGTATCAGAGGCATTCTCAAGAGTCATGGGAATTGTCAGTGAAAGTATATTTAGCCATATCCCTTTGAGTAGGTGGAGGAAGAAAGACCCCTAAATAGCTGTAAGATAACAATTACTGCAAGTACATTTGCTTAGAGAGAGTTTAGTCAGAGTACTGAGAAAAGACAAGTCCAATGGCCAGCTTTTTGAGCAGTCCCCACTAACCCTTACTGCATGAGGAGTGTGCTCAGAAGAGAAACCCCTCTCCTTCAGTCTTCTCCACATGCTCTAAGCACTCCTTGGTGTAAAAGAAATGCTTAAAGTGTCAAATTATCTAGAATTATCTCCCCTCTTTAAACAAAAAAAAGTCAAATCCAGGCCCTCCAAGATAGCATCTTCTTCATAGGGGGGAAGAAATTCTCACTATTCACAACACTGCAAAAGAATCAAAAAGTTCACGGCGCTTTAACAGACAAGTGAAAATGTCCTGGCTTTCATTCAACTGCAATGTTAGCAGGAGTGGGGAGAAGCCTCACTAGCAGCTGCAGGAGAAAACTATGGGACCCACACAAGGGGAATAGCAGGGGGAGGATGTTAAAAATAAAACTTGAGACAATTGAATCATGAGAATGTTATCTGGTTCAACAGGAGTGTGAAAACAAATAGGCATTTCCAGAAGAGGGTCCATAACAAGGTAAATAATTTCAAAATAGCAGGAAGTGACCAAGGAAACGTGCCAAGCTGGTAGCAATAGAGCTCTCCCCAACAGTAAAGGATGGCAGCGGCCACGGATTTCAGCATCACCCTTGTGCAGTGCCACCACCCTCCATCCAGCTGTGCAGCACTGCACCCACCCACCACAACCCTGTTGTGGGAAGACACAAGACTGAAAAGATCTGCACAGGACAACGTTTAACATGACCCAGTGTTTATTGACTCCTGCCACATTTATTCTTCTTTTAATAGTAACAGGAACACAAAATGTGATGTATAGTAAAATATTACTAGGGGTTTCTGTATCAATCTGATGCAAAGTGCCAGCATTGTTGACCAGCATACAACCTGACAAGAGAAGATGTAGTCATAACTCACTCTCAGATATCTGCTGGGAGTACAGCATAGTCAAAGTAGAACTAGTTATTTGCCTGCAAATAGATACATTTTCTTCTAGATGTAAGTGGTGTTAGAGCCAGCTATTTTGCAACAACAAATACATATAATATATTCCAACATTTTTTAAAATGTAATAGGAAAGGACTAAAACTGTTTAAAGAGAGAAGGAAAAAAGAGTGGATCTTTTTAGACGCTATTTTGCAGATGTCATTCCTCATAGAACCAGAAGTAATCTAGAGAAAATAAGATCTATTAGAGGCTCCTTTGCTCAAAAGGCCAGTAGTTACATGTTTAAGAATAAAAATAATCTCTTGATTTTCAGTCCTGTCTCCTGTCCTTTTTCCTCCCTGCACAACATAAACCCTCTGTTAGAAGTTGTGGCTTGGTGGCTCTGCATATTTTTTAAATGCAATTGCATTTGGAAAGGCAACCATGTTTCTTAAAGTTGTGAAAAGTTTGCATGACACGCACATGTGGCATGTAACATCTTCACAGATATGAATGATGAAGGCACATTACCTAAAGGTTGGAAAAATCAACAAAACAAGAAAACTTTTGGAGGACTAAAAATTAACTGCCTTGGAGAAAACACTCATTTTCACAAGTGGGTGACAAGTGCTGTTTAGCCATTGATGCTTCAAACAGTTTGCCATAAAGCCAAAACAGAAGCAAAGGAAAGACTCCTTGAAATGCCCTCCCTACTGCAGCAGCCTGCTTTCCCCTCACAGTTCTTCAGACAATTTAATTCTTGCAGAGAAGTTTGCAACAATTCCAGAAACAGGGAAGAGAAATCTGTGTAGAAAACATCAAGCCTGTGGATTGCTACATGACCAACACCTCCTCCACCCCCCACTTAAACCACATCTTCAAGGAGATCGTCCCACTGATCTGAAGACAGGGTAAATAAAGGTCTGGAACAGAGGACAGAGGAATTGGTTTCAATATCCTGTGCCCCCCAACTTCTTTATATTTAATTATATATGTTAATAAAGTAAAAGACAATGCTCTCTGCCACAGAATGATTGTTCTCTCCTCTAACTAGATCAGAAAGATATTGACTAAAAATTAAAATATATACTTTATTTACAATAAATGCATCTATACTGCATGCTCCATCCACCACACTCATGTTGCTGACCACTGCTGAAGCCAGGTGGTAGCATTAGTGGTAACTCAAGTACCTTTCTTTTTCAAACTTTTATACAAAGCCTTTCCCCTCCCTCCCCATCGTTTTTTCACTGTTCTAGGCTCCAGTGAGATATGTGCTAACATCTTTCTAGTGCATTTTTTTAAGGTTACAGTTTCTAAAGGCAAAGCAAGTCTTGCTCTGCTCTTTTAGCTGTCTTTGCCCCTTTTAAAATCATGTAGGAGTTTCAGATTTACATGCTATTATCAGCTTTGCATAGCAATACCACAGGTTGTGTTCTTCCCCGCCCCCCCGCCACCCCTCCCCTTTAAATAATAAACCCGTGGCCTCCCTTCTTCAACACCTCCCATCTCTCAAAGGGTTACCTTTCATTCTCAGGGAAGAGCCCTAATTCTCTCTCTGATAACATGAACATTACAGAATGAGAATTTCAAGTTATCATTAAGTTTCCTTCAAGTCTATGTTGTGCTACTTAGAAGCAACTGTAGTGGAATAATGTTTTTCCTAACATTAAAGGACATTTATCGGATGATCTGTCTTTATTCTAGTCTTGAGTTAGAAGAATATGTCACACATATTCCCTCATATTCCTCTCTTAAGGTGCACAGTGATCAGGCTGAACAAGGTCCAGCCCACAAGACCATAGCTGGATCTCTGGGAGAAGCCAGAGAGAACGAGGGGGTTCTTAGCACTACTTTATCTACATTCAGAATTCAAGGACAAGCTGAAGGATGTCCATTTTAAGAGACAGAACTGCTTTTTAAAAATACTCCATGTCTGTTACTACTTTTTATGTCATGGAAGTTACTTCTTTTCTGTCCCATGCAGCTGTTACCCTTCTGTCACTGACCTTTAATAGTCGCCATTGCATGCTACCTCCTTGCTCCCTGGCTCCAGTGCGACAGGGGTGGCCTGCAGAGCCCCCACGAGCACGACGGCCTGGCAGTGTGGTGAGCTGGTGCAGGGCCAGTGGTTCGGACAGACCACTCTCACCCCCACAGGCAAGTGGCCCAGGAAAACAGGGGACACTGAAGAGGGCATCTATGTGGAACATTTAGTAGGGTCTGACAAACACTGACAACAAGCCAAAAATTAATGCAAGTGAGTGTATTAGGTTGAGAACAGTTAGTGCGAGTGATAAATACATCTACCACCAGCTCCCAGCTTCATTAAGAGCTATTTTAAACTGCGTAGTAAGTGCTGGTTGTAGAAGCTTAGGCAGATTGGAGATAGATCACCAGATACTCACTGAGTCTAAGTTTTAAAAAAAATAATCAATAAAAAAAAAAAAAATATGTGCTTTGCCATTTGAGTAACTCTGGTTTCGCAGCTTGAGGATAGCAGAAGTAGTTACCTGGCGTAACAGATCAATTAAAACAGAATTGCTGTTTCATTCAAATTACACACACATGCAAAGTTAAATAAGTGTGTTAACTAAGTATAAGCAGCATAGAAATCAAGTCTAAGTTACCCATTGTTTACCATACATTTGTCAGACTGCCAGACATATCTTTTCAGATTCATATCAGTGTCATACAAAACATAGTAGATGGAGAAGTCATGAAAATAACACTTAACTTTACATATCGTTGGCCTTTAGTGCCAATGCATTGTGTGTCATTAGCCTTCCAAGTTTACCAAACATTTGGGAGAAAACAGTTTCTTTACCAAACCGTGAAAATAAAAGACATACAACCCATCCTGCTCAGAACTGAAAGGAAATGGTTTTACAAAGTTGTGGACAGATGCATAACTACTTCCCCCCTCAGCCCTAGGACAAAAAGGGCAGTACAGCTGACAGAACTTGACTCTTAAAAAGCAAACAAAATCCAGGAAATGCGATGACTGTGTAGACAAAAATCTGTTTGGAAGTTCTGCACAGCAAAGTGATGAACAGTACCTTGACAGCCCCGAGTGGGACAGACAGTAAGATGCCACTCTACAAAAATCCAGTTTAATTTCACATTTCCAATATCTCTCCTTGCCTGTTAGCAGTCTGCCACAGACTTGTAAAGCTCCTTCCTATTGAGCTAGATTTTTTTTTCCCCCCATAAAGTGCAAATAAGACTCAGGTTTTTACCACTAGTTCCAATGATCGTTATCTTGGTTACAAGAGTGATCAAAAGCCAGTTGGCTGAGCCACTATCACTAGGCTTAGTGATTTTCATTTTTTTAACCCTGGTTACTTTTTCCAGCAAAAGACAAAGAGAAAACAAGTGTTCCTTCTGTCAGATGCAGGTATGACAGGAGGCTGCCTTAAGTACCATCAATATAAGATGCACATGCTAGACACAACCAGTGCGTTCTTGTGTATAACAAGAGTTTGCCCTTGTTCGCTGGAAATTCAAGTCATCTTTGGGATCTTATTTCCTCACAAAGAGTTCAGGAACAGCTAGTCTTCATTAAGAGGTGCCTCTCTCTTCCTTGCATCTACATTGAAAAGATGAAAAAAGGGGAGGCAGTTAAGCCAGAGGGTTCTGACAGCATTCATCTGAAAACTCAGAAAACATAATAAAGTTGATTTGTTTCCCAACGGTCAACACTTTCCATTTCAGACTCATCATATGAATTCACTTCATGGACTGAAATACTGTATGAATCCATAGCATGCTAATGAGATAGTCATACCAAGGTTTTGTACCTTTGCCCATTGAAGCTGAAGAAGACTCACACAGTATTTAAGCAGCCCAGTAAACTTTCAGACTCCAGATCTGTGATGCTTTCCACTCCCACTCTTAGCCCCTTGCTCATGATCTCCTTTAAGGGTGATGCCAGTATTTGCTTTGCATGCCAGCTAGAGACGTCAGTCTGTTCTGAAAAGCATTTGACCAATTACAACTTTCCCAGACCCTAGTTGCATAGCACACGTTTTTAAAAAGACAAGTGCTCTCCACACTGTATGTTGAGGAACTGCCTGAAGCAGTCCCTGAAGACCAGGGTCTTACACTGCTCCAAACAGCAAACCTTTGAGCATGGCCCCAGGTATGTTCTTGGAGCACATCTGGACAACTCAGTTCATTACTACAGTAGCAGGCAGAGTGGCTGCTGTTAGGGAAGCTGGGGTCACCTCTTCCTGGGCTTCTGCAGAAGCGTCTCTGTGAGACCCTGTTGAATGCAGGTAGCTCTTGAAGTGCACCATAATCACAATTACTCTAGCAACTGCCTGCCAAAAGATGCACTTAGCTTCTTTCCAACTCAGTCTGCACATTCCAAGGTTATTATGAACATCCCCACTCAGAAATTACTTGTAAATTAAAGACAAATCCCTTTTGCATTGCTGGAGGCCCCAACTGCCCTTCATTAATACAGAAGACAGGACCTATTCAGCCAGAACATTTAGAGAACATGAAACTGCTCGTGTAAGTCTCATGACTTTGTGCTGAATAGTTTTGGAGGAGACAAAATATACTTCCCAAATAACAAAAGAAGAACTTAGAGACTCTCAGTGACTGGAGCAGCTACCTGGGGTAGGACAAAATCTCAGCAGTCATTTGGGAAAGAAATCAGAAATCACCTCTCCCATGTTCTCCATCACGCTCACCGGGGATACTGAGGCCAGGCCTGAATCTTCTTCAGTCACAATTTCTCCACTTTGCATAAAGTAACTGACTAATGATTAGAAATGAAAAAGCTTTCTAAAAGTGATTGTCATACCTATTTAGCTAGAGTTATTCTCAGTCTGTCTCTGACTTTGGAAGTACCAAAATGCATTAAATTCTTTCTAGTGAACACTTATAAAAGAACCATACCGGTTAAGTTCCTGAACTTTTTTTGGCTTCTGCTCGCTCTTCAGCATCAAAATACCACACAGTCATTGCATATCTATAAAAGAAAGAAATATTATGTTTGTTTCAACTTTTGCTATTAAAATAGAACCCTGGAGTTTTATGCTCATGAAGAAAGCAAAAAATAAAATTGTGTTAGTAGATTAAAAAAAATAAGGTGCAAATGGCACATCTGTATAGACAAATATAAACAGCCTTTTAAATGCGTATTTTACCAAGTAAGATAGAAATAGAGCTGAGAATTTCTGCTTGGAGGCACAAAAGAGTGCACAGCCCCTGGTAACAGAGGGCAAAAGTAGCTTACAGACCTTTGCATGTTTCTCTGCTTTGGGATGCCTGTAGGCAGCTTGAGGGTTGCCTTGCGTCACATCAGCTTTTCGTAGCCTGTTGACAGATGGTAGACCCAAGAATCCCTATAGTGTTACAAGGGCAAAAGTATAACCCAGTATCTCCTAGCTAAATAGCTACGCCTGGCTTGGAAGATTTCTGCTGTCAATGGTAAAAGGGTTTTTTTTCCAATCATACAAGAAATCTTACCGTTCAAGCTTGTTCTTCCTCATTTGATGAGAGAATTCCCAGTGACTCAAAACCAGAAAATTCACTCAAAATCTAGGTACCTATTTTTTATGCACATGTTTATTTAAACAAACACATGACGGCATACTGGTAGAAGAGATGCTCTGTTCAGTCCTGGACAAATATCAACACCAAATACGCTGCTTACCTGGTTGCATAAGAAGGCTGGACTTCATGTGGGTTCCTTCTATCTGACCAAAAAAAAAGTAACCTGTCAAAAATCGGCTCAACATCTGCTACATAGGACTTTCCTTCTGGGAATATACGAAGAATTCCACCATGCAGCTGAAAGAAAAGGAAAGGTTGCTTTTTACACATATAAGCATCCACACATTCGTGCAAACAATGACTTAACTTCTCCCTCCTCAGCACCCAACAAATGGGGAATAAGCATCTAATGATAACCAAGACAGCTACATGACAACACTGGAAAACCATACACTGAATCTCTTGGTCACCTTGATTTTCCCAAACAGTTTGTAATGTTTCAGCATAAACTTTGTAATGTTTCAGCATAAACACCTGGCTAAAGTAAACGAGCCACAATAAAGATAACACTGGCCCTGTAACAAACACTGGGAAACTTCTGAGCTCCCAGTTACATCTCTAGAACCAGTGAATACCATAAGGCAAGTAAGGCTGTTCCATCTGACCAGCCTGAGATCAAACTCTCCTCCCCACAATAGCTAGATACTGCTTATGGTATTTCAGAGCCTGCATCTGATCATACAGGAATTAGCTTTTACACCCTGGGAAGAGTAAAGCCTGTTCTATTGTTGGATCTGTAATAAACTTCTCACAAATGCATTATATCTCCCAGACAGTCTTTTCCCTACTTTTGACATAGCCTGGTTTCTCTACCGCATCATTTCTCCCTTTCCACGTGCCATAAGTTTCAGGGGAAAAGTCCACTGACCTGCATGCATTGTAGAAACATCAAGAGATGCAGATGAACTCTGCTGCTGTTAGAGGACCCTTTGGAGGCTGCACCACCAAGTACAGGGAAGATGCTGTCAACCCAGCACCGACCTGACTTAGTATCTCCACATGGCATTCAAACTTCAGTAAGAAACTACTAGGTTAGGTTTAAAGCAACATGGCTGTTTACAAAGGCCAGCACAGTTATATTGCATCTCCTCCATTTGCATAAAATTACCATTACACCCACATAATACTCTCCACCCAGTTATCTTTCTTAATGTCCACTTGGGTGCTTCCTCACTATTAGAATAAGAGTGCAGTGCACAAAAAAATCTGTTATTTGCATTTCCTCCCACATCTACTCCATTTTATTACATTGAGATGTTTCACTGTCATACTCTCCTTAAAGGAATGTGTTTTTGTCCAAAGGTGCATTTTTCAGTGGTATTGCCTCTAAATCTGAACTCACTTTGGGGGGTTCATAGCATTTACATGTGCTTAAAAAGCATCCACATGAAGTGGCCAAGACAGGTTAGACAGACAAAAAAAATTGGTCAATTTTCCATAGATAATCCACATGAATGGTTTGTGCTGCATTATGACAATAGAAGTGTAAAGAGACATCCTGCAATTTTACAAACCCTTATTTTGTTTCTAACTTAAAGGTATAGTAAATTCAAGGCTGACTTTATTGCCTTATACAGGCAGAGAAGTGAGAGCACTATCCTGTGAAGAGACTCACTGGCGTAATCAAAGATGGAAAGGACAAACAAAGCTCATTCCTCTTACTAAGCCCCATCACTTCGTAAGTAAGAAAACAAAGGCTGAGTATCTTCAGATTTGCCTGAAGGAACAGTATCAAGAACGCTAAAGTCCCAAATTTGGCCTGTCATTTTATTCTGCTCCCAGAATCCATTTATTCTTGATTGGATTGTGTTTTTCTTTCTAGTGCTACATTGCTCTTTCCTCTAAACAAAGCTTAAGAGCCAGAAGCCCAGTGCTTAGAAGCTTTCTTCTATAGCAACAAAACAGTATGTGTGTGGGATGGGAGAGAGAATGCTGACAAAACAGTTCAGATTCTAACTTCCACAGGGTCACCATAAACACCAAGAAAATAAACGTAGAGATGAAGAATGGACCAGCCGTTCAAAAGTTCAGAGTTCACAGGAGCAACTGACAGCTCCAAAGCTCTGTTTCTGAAGTAGTTTTTCCTTCATGTTCTGCCTCAACCCCACGGTATACTCACCTTGGAGTCCCAGTTCTTATTCAGGTAATAAATACAGGTGATGCAGCGCCCATCTCCATTTGGATTGTCCACATGACGAACATACCCAGTTCCATTTCCAGGATAGCAAGCCACCATAGCCTGAAAGATAAAGATTGTAAAAAAATAAATTCTACAAGATGCCTACATTCAATTTTTCTTTGCTAAGAATCCCTCCACTACCAGCCTGGCTCAGTATTTTTCAAGTGATCAATCCAAAACCTACAGCAAACACCACCAGAAGGTATCTTTGCATAAGCTTCTTTCACTGGATGAGTCAGCCAGTGTGAAATTCCAAACTGGAATAAATACCCTTCATATTTCACACAAAAGTAAGAAAAAAAAACTGAATTAAAACTAAAACACTGGTATGTATGGCATAAGCTTATTGTTCTCTACAAGCTAAGTGACTTTCAGCCAGATTCAGCTAAAGTTTTCTTGGGTTTCTAAAGATGAGCAGTCATTGCAAAACTGATTTGTCAGTCATAATTAAAGTAAAAAGAAATACCAGGGTGTCATGCCTTACCATCACCATCCTCCTTTATTCATATCTTCCAGTGCCTGCCATATACAACCCTATGGTCCAACACAGAGTGAGGGTCCCCAGGAGGTGTAGGTAAAAGTCCACAGAACAAAGTCTGCAAAAATCTGCAACTTCTTTGTGCTGTGTTTGCACAGGGCAGTGCATGTTTGCTTTCATGGACAGAGTCACAGAACTAACTAAACAGCTTTCAGAAGCATACTCCACTCTTTGATAATCTCCAGACTTGCTGATACAATCGCTTAATTCATTCACCTTAAATGATCAGATAAGCCTTATGATGAATTACTCCAATCCACACAACAGTCAACAGGTCTTAAAAGGCTTTTTACAGCAAAAGAGTATTAAACTTGAGATGACACCATTAGCAGCCTAAGTAGGGTGCAGGGAATAGCAGGTGAAGCTGCTGGTAGGGCACCAGAGATTATCTGAGTCACTTCTTCACTATCGGGACTACTTGGTAGTGATACCTGTCACCTTCCATGGAGCTCCACTAAAGCTGTGACTACAGAAGTCTTGTTCCCACTCCTCTGACATCTCCTTTCATTATTTGCCAGTATGAGCAGCAAGAGTGAAGGGGTGTGGTGGGCTAAATTCAATTGGAAAACTGGACACAGTAACCAGATGGGCCCACATTCAGCTCACTGCCCACCGAGACTGCCAGCTCCCCTTGGGAACAGAGCTGCTCCCCAGCCTGGCAGCCCCTGGCCTGTGCTCCTGCAAGGGGCTCTTCCTTCCCAGGGGCAGGGCTCTGCATTTGCCCATGTTTAATTTTGTAAGGTGCCCGTCAGTCTGTTCCTCCAGTCTATCTTGGGTCCCTTTTGGTGGCAGCCCTGCCCTTGACTGCATCAACTGGTCTCCCTCGGTTTGGTGTCATCTCCACACTTGATGAGAGTGCACTCTGCCATCTGCTCTGGGTTACTGAGAAATGTGGTTAACAGGTCAGGTCCCATGAGAGATCCCTGTGGTGCTCCATTTGTTACCAGCCTCTAGGTATAATACGACAGATTAACCATTACCCTCCAAGCCCTGCCATCCAAACAGTTTTTTACCCATCTAGTTTTCCATCCACCCAGACCACAACATCCTAACTTTGGATACAAGACTAATTATTGTACATGCCTGTCCCACAGAATGAGGATGTGATTGTGCACTACTTGCACGACCTGCCCCCGATAACTTGCCAAGCACAGTTGATAGCACTAAAGATTGACACTATAGACTTTTCTAAGAACAGTTGAAGTTTTTATCTAGGAACCCCAGGGGTCTTGTTTTCTGCTTCCAAGCACATGCTAAAGCCATGCTGTTCTCATGGATCACAGGACCAGCTAGAGCACAGCACATGTTGCTTTAATCACAAAGGTAATTTCACTGTGCTAACAGACACCAATGCACAACTGGATCCCTTGGACCCTCTCCTACCAAGAACAAAATCTATTCAAAGGATTGGACCATTTAGGACAGGTGTACATATACAGCTGTGAAAATATTGCTCTGCATTTCAAGTCATGTATGAATGGACTTTCCTTCCTCCCCACAAGCACCAGCAGAACAGTACCTGCAAGCAGCAGTAAGTCACCAGAGCCCACTCCTCACCCTGACACCTCAGGCCACAGCTGCTTTGGGGCTGGTGGCCTGCAGGGGCATGAGATTATGCTGAACAAGAATGAGTACCTTTAATTCCCAGTAATAAAACCTATTCCATCATGCCTGGCAGTTGGCTAGATGCTGTAGGTCCTGTCCGCTCTGTTGTCATTCTGCTGTTACAAACAGCTCCGCAGCTGAACTTACATTTCACTATCAGCCTGATAACAGCGGTAAGGGCCAGCCTACAGCCTAGCGCTGGTAACAAGTTTCTTAGGACCATAAACCCAGTGGAAACCACAATTCAGCTGCACCTGCAACACAGAAATCGTCCAAGGGATCTGTTTCCTCAGTGGTGAGGATACCCCACCTCATGCATCCCCCCATCCCAGCTGCTAGCACAGCAGCTCAGGCGGATGCACCCTTCACCCATCCCATGCACAGCAACCTGGATTAGGTCAAACAATTTAGCAAAGGAAGCATTTGCTAAACCTGATCCCATACCCTGGGGAACGCGACTCAGAGCTGAGAGCACAGAGGAGAGGGGGCAGGGAGGAGGGCTGTGCCGGGGGAGCAGCGTGCGCATCCCCACCGCCAGCACAGCTGCTGCCCAGAGGATGCACACCTACACCGCCAGCACAAGGCCCAGCTCAGCACAGCTCTGCTAATCATACCAGAGGGATGATGCACGGTGGGAATAAAACTTTGACTTAAAACCATGGTATTATCAGTCCACAATGTACAGCACAAAATTATGAAGCCCTTAAGGAAGTCTCTCTTTGGTAAGCAGACATTACTCCAAGATTACCAAGCTGCCTAAAAAAATCAATCCAATATTACTACTATTTTTTAATGCCACTATCAAAAAGCTCCTGAAGAATAATAGACTGCAGGCCATATCCTTAAAGGGATTTAGGTGCTTTACTTACTACCAAAATCTGGGCAGAAGGCCAGAGTTTTCCCCAGCTTCCCTCACATAATATGTTCTTTTAGCAGAACATGTGCTTTGACTCTAACACATTGATGCATTATTTATTTATTTACAGCATGCACCTTTTGCAGCCACAACACACGGAGTCCCTGGAGATGAAGGAGTAGAACAATTCCCACAGAATCCAAAAGCACTGGCCACACTCAAGCTTAACTTTAAGAAAAGAAAAGAGGAAAAAAAGTTTTCTAATAGCAGCAGCGAAGGGAGAAAAGCAGAAGTGAAATATCCTTTTTCCTGGCATGGTGAACATTTGAATGAAACCTTAAACAATTAAGGGAAATCATTCTGGTCCTCCTAGAGTCTGTTGAAACGGTATCAAGCTTTATCAGAGCACTGGCTGGAGCAGCTCCAGAGCAGATCAAGCTGGCCTCAGCAGGGATTCCAGCTGTTAGTACTACTTTTGGATTCATTCAAAGCAAACAATAAATACAAGATGAGATGCGTGACCCAGACTTAATTTAGGTAATTGATGAACACACTGGTATTTGCCAGTTTAGTGCACAGGCTAGCTACAAAAGCCAGACCCTGGATCATAATAATCAAACCATTTACCAGGTGAGCAAGTGAAGTGTCAGGAAAAATGTTTCCTATACTTTCAGCTATTGTGTCTAAAGAAGAATCCATTTTTGGAAGCATCTCCCCTCATTAAGCAACTCCAAGCCTAAACTTACTATAGAAGGCAGTGATGAGCCAGAATGGACCTAACTTTTTTTTTCCAATACAATCCATTACAATGGCTGTTAGTTTGCTTAACTGCCCAGTATAAGCACTCAGAACAAATTTCAGCAACACCTGCTCCCGCACACCCCTTTATTTTAAGTTAAAATAGATGAGTGTGACTTAAGCAACAGCTGAACAGTTAAAACCTCTGACATACAGATGCACACCTTTGCAGTCACACACACACACACCATACTTTGAAGACCAATGCTCTAGTGGTCTAGTCAACAGTCATAAATTTAAGCCTACAAAACTTGGAAAATGAAAAGCTAATCATCGAGACTGTAGTTTCTGCACTGTCATTTTCAGAGATGTTAGGTTTCCCAAGTGAGTGCAAATCAACCACCAGTTAAACAAGCAGTAATTACCAGCTTTAGTAAGGAGCCAGGAATCATCAGCAAATTCCACGTTGCACAGAAGCTTGCAAAAATAAGTTATTCATCATTCAGTTTAAGTATTACACTAAAGTCAGCCAGAGAAATCTGCAAGTCAAACTGCAAGACACCAGCAAAGTTTGGAGGCAGATAAAAAACAGTTTCATAGAGAGGATTTTTCCCTGCCTCCCAGTGCTCCTAGCAAGGGGAAAAGCAAATTCTCTTAGCTGATAGCCAGGACCATGCTGTGAGGCATCATTCTGCTACATTTCATTAAATAAGCAGCACTGGAGTGGACTGATACTTGGAACAAAATTCTTCAGAGAATACCTCAGAAGATGCTCATAAGTGGAAACGACCACTGCTGAATAGGAAGCAGCGATTGCAGCAGGTCAGAAGATGCTCTCTGTGCCTGTTCAGCACTAAGCCAGGGCCCCAGTGTACTCCTAATGCAGACTGTATACATGGTCCTGTAACCCTATACTGACCTGGTGTTTTCCTCTCAGAACTAGTATGACCTTTGCAACCAGCAGAGAAAATTCTGACCTGCATAATTCTATATGCCAACACTAACTGCCCTTGCAGATTAAGCTAAGGCCTCCACAATGCACTTTTCCATTTTCGGTACCAGGTTTGTCCTGTATATTGTTGAACAGCTGCTACTTTTGATCCCTACTGTAGATTGTGTCTGTGTACAGCTTGTACATTAAATAGTTAAACTCAGAAATTACTTCTAAAGTCTATTAGATGAAAGGTACTATATAGACACAAAGTAAAATACTGACCTACAATATCACTATGATGGTTGTCTAAGAAAACCAAGGTATTAATAAGAATTAACAGTGCTACGACCACTGCAGCTCTCATATCTTTTTATTTGGCTGCACACTTC